GTTCTAAAAATAGAAAAATTGTCCCATATCATAGATGCGCGCGAATCCCGAGACTTACGGTCTCCGTCCCTGATTATGGCTCCTGGCGGCTATAACTACTTATTCCATCTACAGGCAGTACATGTAAATATTACGTGATTACGCAGGGAGCATACTTTACCTGGTAGCTTTCTTTTACTCCAAGAGGGCTTGCTGTCTCGCAAGTTTAAAATATAGCTGTCAGAAACTAACTCCGATTTACTTCACATTTATGGGAGTCTTCTTGCTACCAGACGAAGTGAGCACATCATTCAGTCAGTAAGCGATTGTTATTCCTTTTCACCGAGCTGCAGTTCTCGCAGGATCAAACGCATCCAGTGTATTCTTGGAAGGTAGTTGTTTTATTGTTCGTTCGTTTGTTTGTTTGCTTACTTCACTGAAACCAGACTTGCGTCTTTTCCGGCGATTAAAAAGCGGAGCATTCGAAATGTTCAACACGGTGCTTGACTTGCCGTTGTGTTCGAAACCCGCTATTAGGGAGCTTAAGCAAACCGCGACGACGACGGCAACGAGAACGTCACCAAACAAAAGGTTTAATGAGCAAAACAATAGCTGTGCACGTGCGTTATAAAACTTTGTACATTTCTTTGCCGTCCTCTGCAAATAACAACGTGAAATGACCAAATTSTMCGTCGTCTACTGAATGTGGACCACGACGGCTAATTTTTRGTGTTTCCATTTGGAATTGAACGCTGTCATTGCATATTTAGCTTGAGTACGTTTTCACAGCCATTGGCGCACCAAACAGATCTAGGCAATCGCGATTTTCGCTGGTAAAATATAAATTCATTTTTGACTAGGCGTCGTCCTCGGCGTCGTAGTCGTCGTCGTTGCTTAAGCTCCCTATTATTTTCCCGACGCGAATTAAAAAAATAATGAAACGACATGTGGTTCTCTTGGGATACATGTCCCAAACGTGCGTTTACAAACATTAAATGTTAAAACATTTTAGCTTGAAGGACAACTTCAAGCATTTATTTTAACTCTTTCTTTGCTTTTTTAGTACAAATTTATATCTTGATCTCAACACAAAAACTACCAAGCTACTACATAAAGAGTTCTTAGACCAGAAAATTTGCACTTTATTTGAAGATGGCGGCCATATTAGACTATTATGGCCGTTGTTTGCTCTTCATCCTCTTTTCAACCCGTGAAAGAGATAGGATTCTAATATCGAGAGATGAAGTTCCAGGCGACAGTAGACTGCCTTGATGTAAAGACAAAAATTGGGAAGGTATTAGGAAAAACGCTATTAGACCTGAAGTGTTGGACTTCGTCTCAAGTTGGGGGCCATATTAGACTAACACTGCCGATGTTTGACATCATTCTGTTTTTCACCCGTTGAAGAGATGGAATTCTACAATCGAGAGAAGAAGTTTTACTGTATTGAGAGAACTGCAGCGGAGAAGCTCCTCGTTTGATTATAGATATCCTAAATGTCAAATTAAATCAAGCCGACAGCATTTTCCATCGTCAAAAACAATTTATTTTGTGGTTGTGATTAAATATACCAAACACGAAAAGGCGACGCGCTAGCTGACCTGTCGGCTTTGTTGTCTACTTTAAACGCTTTCTATTTTCTCTTTTTAATACCGCAATGCTTATGATGTGACGAACCTAAGTAACGATATTTAGTTTATAGCCGGAATACGGGATGCAGAGTCGAGACAGTAATTCACAGTTATGGTTGGATTGAAGCATCGCAATATCTTGATATGAGCAATTTTGTCAGGGGTGTTTACAAATCACTCTCACACAGTTGCCTCTGAACCCCCAGAACATTTTTGGTGGAACATATTCAAGAAAAGTTTAAATTAAATTATTGATCAAGTGACTGAGTAGAATGGAAATCATTCTAACATCGTTTGGATTTGCGTCATCTTTTTAATTTGTGAAAAAGAAATTTTTAATTCTTCGTCGTTATTGCTTTAGTTTGCTTTTCGAAAAGCTTTCAGGCTCATTTGTCAGTCACCGTTGACGTGCGCGGGTCAAATTCAAAATGACGGGCGACTTGAACACACCAAATGTAAGCTGTAAGTGAATCAAAGTGTCTTTGCTGTATCTAGTTGTCTCTATTTCAAGGAATCATGTCTACAAGAGGATTAGAAACTGATATTTTTCCACTGTTCGCAATGCCTATGCGAATAATTGTTCTGCAGTTGTACCCGGCTTATTCGAACTCGGTTATTTCGAATTCCTCGTTATTTCGAACTCAAAACCATTTGGCTTGGTTTTGCTCTTCAGTTATTTACCATCGACTATTTCGAATTCCCACTATTCCAAGCAATTTTTCGTTTCCCCTGCGAGTTGGAAATAGCGGGGTTCAACTGTATTTGTAATGTCAAGTCCGATCGCAGTGGGTATCGTAGAATACTGTCAGAGCGTGAAGCAAGCATATCTTGGGTGAATTCAAAGTGAGGGGGAGGAGCTAGATCGAGCTTGTGCCCTTTTATAACGCACCTTCGTGTTTAAAAGTAATTCGAAAATGGCCTATTACGCGCTCTGTCCGGCAAAAGTAGTTTTTATATAACCCATATAGAAACAATCAAATTAATCAATTCAAATTAAAGTTAAGTCAGCGCTAACAGTGCGGGCCCTCAGTTTTGATAGACGATGTCAATATTCAGTATTCCAAGATATTACGAAAGCACATCTTGCTAAAAAGAAAAAAATTGGTGTCCAGACGACAAGTTGATTGATTGATTGACAAGTTTATTGCTATAACTAAATCACTTAAAATATATAACACGTGGTCACCAATCCTCTTGTCAAGTGTTTACACAATGAGTCGGCCGTACTATCGGGGAAATCACGGTCAAACTCCTTAAAACTCACTTACAAGTGTACCTGTATAATTAATGACACTGTTTACGAAAAACACCACTACATATTCGTGTTAAAACTTTGTTGAAGTTAATTCACTGATGATTAAATTAGGTTGTGGCGTTCATTGGTAAGGCTTGGATGTTTCAGGCCTGTACCTGCAAGAAATCCAAAATATTGCATTAAATAAATTTATTATATTCTAAATTTAATTAAATAATCAAGAGAGGACAGGGGCTAAATCTGCTATGCGGGGGAACATTGGAAGTCATTTGTGTTAGATCGTTTTGACGTTGTCCAAATGCTAACCTGTTTATGAATATCACGTTTTACAAGGAAATATTTTACTGTTAGCTGGGAATGGACGCGTTTTACAACTTCTAGCGAGATCTAAGATCAGCAAAAGTTACTGATAGCTAAGAAATGGACTGAAATTCTTTATTGTTGCGAAGAATTAATCGCCGGAAATATTAATTTAACTGGTAAGTATATCAAACACGATACGTAGACCGTGTTTAATCACATTTCCAAATACCGAGGGAGAGAGTAGAAAATACAACTTGCAGCGAAGCCCGGTGGGGGGGAGGGG